CAAAGCAAGCCATCTGGGGCAAGCCGATTTTCGCAACTCCAGTGAAGAAATAGTGGTCGAGAAATAGACGCCAATCCATATGTGGTTGGTTCCATTTGGCCCTTCATCCTCCACAAAGCAGGGGGCTGCACGCGTGCAAAGGTTTGAGGACTTGGACGGGTCCTAGACTCCATGTCAGTGGCGCAAAGTGGTTGCATAAGCGGGCAGGCAGGCGTACTTTAACTGGTTTAATGATGGCTCACACACTCACACTACCTGTACAAAGCTTGCCCTCCACGTGAGTCCTCGACCCTGAACCCTTGAAACCCTTAAACACTTCATTCCTGTCATCTTGAACTCACATCTGAACGCAAAGGTGTCGGTGAGTGGCTGCCTTGCTTTGCACAAAGCACGGGGCGCCCACATACTGAACCACCAGAGATCCTATCCTCCACGGTAGCCGTGTTGAGCTGCGGGGTCCACAAAGCGTACTTACCAGGAACTGTTGCTGGGAAGCGACTGCCTTGCGCGCTGCAATCACCGACGGACCAGTTGCTGCCTCTGGCTCGACCGCCCCTGCATTCGCGATCAGCCAGCCTAGAAAGCGAGGGTCATATGGCGCCACCTTCTGCGCGCACATGTCCCAAGTGTTCTGTAGTTCCAGCTCTCTGCCAGTGAGTTGCCGAAAGCCGTCGATGGTAAGAAGGGCGCGGAAGAGCTCCAGTCGTCGGGAGAAGGCCAGGCCACGGTCGGCCGCACTTAGCCCAAGAACAGCACCCTCAAAGGGCAAGCCCCCGTAGCGCTGCAAGGAGAGCTGCAGCAGAGTGGACACAAATTGCCAGCCATCAGAACACAAGGCATCTTGCTGAAGGCGCCGGATGTTCACAAGATTTCGGATATGGCCCACCCACACTAGTGGATCTATGTCGATGAAACTGCCCCCCACTGGAACCAGCCCTATGTTGACCAAGCTCTGTAGGCTATGCTGCTTTGCTAAGGCATGCAGCAAGTGCAACAACGCAGGCGTAGAGGAGCTCGAAGCTGCGCGATAGACATTATCCCAGTTGAGATCCACAAGCCCATCCTTGGACTCAAGCGTCGTCATACCAGCTCCCATGGCACCTGTTTGACAGCTTTCCGGGAGCTGGACAAAGAAGGTCCGTGGCCAACAGCTGCAGAGTCACATGGAACCAGCTTGAAAGAGCGTAGTGTGGGTGCAAGACTTCTTGCCATCTCATGAACCTCCTCAGGCCCAAGAAGAAGAACCGCTGTACCTCCTGGGTGAGTTTCCCCAGTGTACCCTCACAAAGGACAAGTCGGCAGGAGATAGCCAAATATAGTGCAATGGTATACAGAGCGTGTTTTTGTACATTAAAAATCGTATAGTACAGCATGCTATGCACGACATAGAACTTGAGACATCAACTTGACTATTTCCCTTACTACACTTACTACTATTGCTGCTAATAACAATAATGACTAATAATGACCTATTACAGTGCCACTGTCATTGCTATTGTTATTCTTACCCCCCATCGTTCTTGCTATTACTACTCTCGCCGCAGCGCTGCATTGTAGCAGCTTCAAGGGCGGCAAAACAAGAGGACTGCCGGGAAAACGGTGGGTTCAGGCCAGCGCGCATCAAGGCGCCCTATGCGTGTAACAAAAACACGTTCAAGATTACTCCTATTTGTTACTGCTATTTCTACTCTGGCTATTCTTATACATGCCCGTGCGGACTAGATCGATTACCACACAAGTTTTACTAAATGGATGCGAACCATACCATGTTGTGCATAGTGGTATGCAGCACATCCATTAGGAAACATTGACTCATTCGATAGTGAGACAAACCTATTCCAAGAGAAGACAAGGTTTCCGAGTTGATCAGAAGATCTGAAAAGTGATCTGTTCCGACAGAACTTGCGCTTCCGAAAGAGTTTCCAATGTCTGGGCGACATGACAAGATTCGTCCCGCGCTCGAGAAATACTCTGAGATTTCCCTGAGTGGAGCAGCCCAAAACGGCCAAACTCTTGAAATGAATGGATCTTCAACCGGAACCTACAACTTACACGCATCCAGCGAAGCCTGACACTGTGGTTCGAGCGCAGTCAGCTCCACAAGCTTCACCTCTCCAGTGCACCAGCACTGACCTTGGCCGCTGAATGGCCAATGAGCCCATCTGTCGATCCCAGCTTTCCCTCTTGCATCTCGCTCACTTAAAGGGACCCATGTCGGGATCTCGGGCTTGAGGCCGCGGTGGAATTGCTGGGGCCAAGGTGCGGGAATTGCTGTACACCTCCACCTCATCCCCGAGCGCGAAGATCTCTGGCCTACATTTTGTTGCCACTTGGAAACCGAAAATCGTAAGGACAGCCCTTGGTCCGGCCACCCCATCGGAACCCATCCATTTAGAGACGGATCAGCGAAAGAGGCGCAAGGGCATATGGATGACTCATGCCAGGGGCAGAGGTGGATATCAACTTAGCCACTCCCGATGATGAGTCATAAAACGAGATCAGCGTGGGGAAGTCCCCACTTTGCAGGCTCCACTGTGATGTCAAGAAGGGAAGTCACACAAGAAGGGAAGTCCCCACTTCACACACACAAAAAGACGAGAAAAAACAAGAAACAAAGAAGAAGAAAAAAACCTAGGACCCCCCCCCCCTATGATTCGGAGGTTTGCCGGCCCTCCGGCCCGCCCCCGCGGCGACCCCGCGGGCGGGCCTGGACCCAGAGGCGGCGGAGGCGGCGGAGGCGGCGGAGGCGGCGGAGGCGCCGGAGGCCCGGGACTGCGCGGAGCGCACGGAGAGCGGGCTCACCGGGTCGCCTGGATGGGACATCCCACTGAAGCGACTGAAGTGGGGTCTGTGCATGCGGACAAACAGCAGGCGGCAGCCCTCACTTTGAGATAGGACGAACTCAGTAAAGTTCTGGAGTCCTGGGGGTCAGTCCACATTTCAGCTAACGTCTTTTCTAAGCAAAGTGCTTGATGAAAATCGCTGATCTCTAACATGTGGCTACGCGAAACAATCTGACCACTCCAAGTCCAGCTGGACAGGGGAATTGAACCCTCTACCGTGCCCCCACTGAGCCCCCACAGATTGATATTCATGCAAGGTACAGGCCTCATGCAAGGTACGGGCCAGGGTTCGTGACCAGTGGGCGTCTTTCAACAATCCCCGCCTGCTGCGAGCTTGGTGGGGCTCACGGTCGTAGGCCCGCGCGGGTATCCGTTTGCGCCAGCACGCTGCACGGAATCCACGGGCACTCCTCGCTTCATTTTGCCACGGTGAGCGGCTCACTGGGATCTGGGGCACCATCAACCTGTAATGTAGTGTTGGCTCCAAAGTGGAATTTCATGGCACCCATGTCTCACTTGCATGCTTGTTTCCAGGGTGGCGCCTTTGGCGCCTGCATGACTTTTGAGGTGGGGCCCCGCGTCATTCCCTCTCGCCAAATTATGATTCCAGTACTTGAATTGCGGGCTGCAACTCAGGCCGGCTCTGGTTGACACAACGGGGACGCCAGGGTGTGGTCCCCTGCCATCCTGGCTTTCATCCTGCGAGCTGAGGAGTGCAAAACGGAAGGTTTGCTTCCAGCATGTGGCCATGGGTCAACATCCCGTACCCCCAGTGAACATCCCAATCCCCGCGGTACCATTCATTTTGACCCACAGCCATGTCAGAAAATGCAAGCCCCCCTTTGCATTCTGCAAGTTCAGGAACCTCCGAGGCGCCAGCAAGATTTGAGCCATGCCATGTCCCGCCTCTTCCTCGCCGGCGAAGAGGCCGGCGACGGCCATCATGCCCTGCGCTGCCAACATGGGCACCTCAGCTCAGCCGCCCAATGTCCTGGCTGTCAGGTGCCACCTCCCTTCAAGGCGAATGAAGCCAAAAAGCCAGGGTGTGAATTTTCATGTGTCCCGGACCCTTTCATGGACATCATTCAGGTGGGGATGCTTTCGTTTTCCCGGACCCTTTGGTGGGATTCATGTCGCCACCTTGGAGGTGGTGCCCCTATTAAAAATCATAGCCAGGTGAAGCTTGACGCCTTTGCAAAGCTGTTGCGGGAGGCATGGCAAGGGAACACGCAGGCACGGCTAGGGCCAGTGCGGCCGCAGCGTTGCCAATAGCAATGCGCGCATTGCTCCTGGTGGGAAGCGAACACATTCCATCCATGAACCAACCATTGAAGGACAGTACTCTGCTAATTGGGTTAAACCCTAAACCCTGGGCACAGGTGGCTTGGTGTGTGTGTGGGTCCTCAGCATAGCTCCAACTCCGGCCAAACTGGTCACCCAGTGTGGAACGTGCCCCACCCCGAGCTCGCAGCACAAGGTATCCTTGGCAACATATTGCACATTTGGTGAACCTTGTCATATCTTGTCATGGTGGCAAGCAGCGCTTTGACACCAGAATTGAGTTGCTTCTGCTTACAAACCTGCACGGCTGCCCCGCTCCCGCTAAAGAGATTGAGTCCATATGGACCTGTGAAAGACAAAAGCGATCAAGCCAAGCCGAGACTCCGCGAAATGACAGCAGTTGTGCCGCAAGAGGTCGTACTGCTGTCCCTTCCACTCTTTCGCCAGCTTCTGCTTTATGAGCCTTTGGCCAAGCAACCGCTGGTGTGAATCAAATGCAGGCTGTGAGCCGTGTCTCACTTAGCTCGCCACTGCTCCACCTCTTTTCGAGTCTTTGTGGTGAAGCCCATATCCACCGCCTCCCGGTACGAGTGCGCCTCGCAGCCTCGCAGGGGCTCGACCTTCGCGCCTTCGCACCTTCGGACCCTCGGACGCGGCTGGAAATGCCGGGCCTTTGGGCGGACAGCAGAAGATTCCAGTGCCAAAGGGGCCGTGGGCGCCACCGCCATAGCTCCACTCCCTGTCATAGATCTCTACGCCTCCGCCGGGCCGGAGGAGCATTTCTAGAAGCGATCGAACATGGAGCTTCGGCAGAATGACTACTTTGCGACTAACCTGCAAACAGCTGACTCCAGTGACTTGGACATTGCCAAGCCACAAGCTAGACCATGCCATGCCTTGCGGCCTTGCGCGCAAAACCTTCCTGCCAGAGGTTGTGCCCCCCCCCTCGCCTGCATGGAAGGCTCCGGTGCCGATGGCCTTGCACACCGCGTTGACGCCGGAGAACTGTCGGCCCAAGTCCTGGGAGGCAATTGCAGCGCTGGATGTCCAACCTCAAAACTGGTTAAACTGCACGCTTCTCAGGAGGTTGCTCGACGACTCACCTATAAAGACTTCAAGACAACCTGTCATCCAGGTCGGCCGTGTTCGCGGTTTAGTTGCTTCCAAGCGTCGTAGATGTGGAGGACGACTGGCACGGCCGCAGGGCCGTTTGGTTGGCCTTTCAGAAAACCCTTCAGGACATCCATGCCATCCCGCGCCCCCTCACAGAACCACAATGGGCTGCGATCCGAACACCTACTCTCAGGTGCGAAGCATGGGGTCGAAATCTGGTAGCGGTCTCTCTCTCTCTCTCTCTCTCTCTCTGTCAGGAGTTGTCAGGTGTTTGAGCTTCAGGGGTTGCAAGCTGCTTTGAGCGGGCCAAAGGACACTGAGCCAAGGTCGCCCTTTTCCATCCGCGGCAGGATTCGGCTGAGTCCTGGAAGTTTCACAGTGCTTGAACCAGAAGAGCTCAATGCAAATCACACCTAGCTCCCTACTGTGGATGGACAGTTTTCCTGCGACAGCTAAGAAACCTTGGAATGATGATTCCCCCTGTAAATACCAACGAATAAGGAGTTCCCATGGTTTCAAAGTGGTGCAGGATTTCGTCCATCCACAGTAGTAGTAGCAATTGATCTTATGAGGAATCCATCCCCCCCCCCCCAGCCTCTCACTGCTTGCGCAAGGCCGGGGCAGGGGTTGGCTTCGGGATGGGCTCCATCTCCTAGAGCAAAGCCAAGGCCGAAAGGCATGAACCCATCGAACCCCTTCAGAAGGTACGGGAAGGGCACGGGCGTGTCGTGGTTGGAGTTGGCGCCATTTTTGGGGTTGATTCAGAGGGGAAACCAAAACAAAACCACCTTTGGAAAATCGTGGGTCCCTATTTTGAGACAAACACCGCATGGCTGATCATCCAAAGAACCTGGGACCGGGCTCTCTGGCCACTCCTGGCCCCCGAGTGCCCCAGGCTGCGTCATCCGAGACATCGCTTCGGCAGCGGTCTCCGCCTGGCTCTCGCACAAATCCACACGCAGTGGCCCATACTTTCGCTTCTGAGATGATGCCTTCCGGTTCCATGTGGACCTCCCTACAGCTACAAAAAGAAGACTGGACACCACGAAGAGTGAAGCACAGAATAAGCAAATGCATGCAGCTTGAGATATGCGGGCGATGCACGTCCTCGGTCGCTCCGCGCGTCTTTTCATTTAGCTTGCGGCGGGTATATTACTTACTTTGTCATTGCACGTTTGTTCATGACTCGGCTATCTTCGAAAAAATAAAAAATAAATCCGACTGCCACCTCAGGACGCCCCAGGTGTCAGTTTCAGCGACTGCGCAATGTAGTCCAGGTACTTCTTGCCCATCCGTCCCTGGTAGGAGGCCTCGATGCGGTCGCTGGGGGACTGGATGACCACGAAGGTCGCGGCGCCTTTCCGCAAAATCGCGCGGCCCGTGGTGGCCAGCGGAGGCGGCGCTTCTCCTTCTGCGCCGGTCCGACCCATGGCGTCCGAGATGGTCATGAGGTTCTTGCCGCCCAGGCCCTGGACTTGCATGTTGGGATCTTGACCGGCCATGCCACCGGCAGGCACCTGCACCTCAAGTGTCAAGAAAAGAACATCTCAAACCTTCAAACGTCGTGGTCAAAGAAAAGAATCCAGCAGTCATTTGGCCTTTCATTGTTACTTAACAATCTCAACATTAGTTCCGCTACTACTCCCGTTCTTTCGTTATTACCCACAAGTCTTGGCCATTTTTGCACCCACCTGGCTCCGAGCGTGCCACGTCAGCACAGACTGATCTGGGGCCGGGCCATCACTGATCTCCGCGTCCACCACTGTAAAATCAATCTGGGGCGCCTACAGGGAGGAATGGTCTCACATGGGTGTCATTTTGTGGGAGGCACCCTGTATTTTGAGAGTTTTTGAAGGGAAACCACAGGGAACACCAAACACGTTGGATTACCCTCCCCCAGACTAACATGGAAGCTCCCAGGACCCCTTTGGAAGACTCGGCTCGATTTGCAGAGGCCTTCTGAAAGGCTTCCATGTTAGTCTGAGAGAGTGTAGGGGGGTCTTTAGTTTAAGACATCCCCAACCCCAAAACCCACAGGCCATGCATTTTGCTGGCCTGCATGCCCATCTGAGCAGCCTGCGCCTGCAGCCCCGCACGCATCAGCCACTCGGCGATGGTTTGTGCGGTGATCTGCCCCAGTGCCACCTGAAGACCACAAAGTTCTATCAAACAACTTCCCCCATACTCAAACAATTTCCCCCATACTCCACATGCTTGTCTGGAAATTTACAAATTCCCTGGGAGTATACTCACACAATCTCCCCCATACTCCACATGCTTGTCTGGAAATTTACAAATTCCCTGGAGTATACTCAAACAATCTCCCCGTTACTCCACCATGCTTGTCAGCATGAGTCTTCTCTGTTCGAGCACGGGGCCCCGGCTATGTGGCCAGTGGGAAACACCGAGACTTGCTGAACTGGGCCTCTCGCTTTGCTCACGTCGCGCAGTAGCAACACGGGACAGGGAAAAACAGTGGCGGGCTGGCTGTGGACTTGCGCCGAATCTTCAGCAGCAGAAGCCACCCGGTGGGGCTGGCTTTAGAGTCAAGTTGCGAACCAGCTTGCTCAAAATGAAAAGGCCCAATATATGAACAAGTCCATGGTTCCGCTTAACCCTGCTTGGTCAGAACTCTTTGCATGGTAGCGTCAAAGAAGGTCCTGTTACAACTAATCCACAAATGTCCAATGGACGGGATTGAACGCTTCGTGTCTTGCTATGTCTTGGAGGGGACCCTCACTTTGAGGCACACCTATCTTACACCAGGCCTCCTTCCAATCGCTCCGCGTGTCATCCCCGGCGCGGGGCATATACTGCACAGAGCGTAGCAGGGACGGCAGCGCCAAACGGGCGCAGCGTACTACGACCAGCTCGTTGGCCTTCGCGCTTCAGTCAAGGTACCCAAATGGATTTCCCCAAATATAGCTTAACTTGGTCGTCTTCCTTGTGGTGGCTGCTTCTTTGTGGTGGCTATTGTGCCTTTTTCTTTGCTTGTTCGCCACTTTCGGCACCTCTCTTGGCTCATTTGTGCTAGGTACTTGTTTGCATGGCATGTGGTCTTCTGTCTGCAAGTGAAACAACCGAGTGTGTGCCTTGCTCCCCTGCCTTGTAGCATATTAGGGGGCATTCGCCCTTTTTCCAACCTTTTCAATAGCTTTTACGGAAGCGAGGCAAGGGTGGCAGAAGGTGTTTCCTCCCATTTCTCGTGCTGTCCCTTGCTGGCGTTGAAAAACGAGGCGGCCTCCAAAACAAAACGAAAGAATGCGAGATCCTCAGGAGGCCCATTCCAATTCCGCAACAACAAGCCCACGAGGGTTACGGGAAACTTGCAAAAGGTGAGTTCCCGAGAAAACAGGGTCCTTCCCGCAGCAATTTCTCGTAAGTCCCGTTTACACCCGGGAAGTTGTTGTGAGCCTCCAGGAGCTCGGGGGTTTCGGGGGGAGGGGGGGGAACCTTCGAACGCTCCGTGGATCTCGCCTTGTTCTGCTGGAAGTCTTGGAGCTCCAAGGGGTCCATGCCTCAGATCTGGCTCTGGGTCATATCACTCAGGAAACCCCTGGTGAACATCAAAATAGGTGGTAAGTGGGTGTTCATCCGCCCCAAAATGGGATCGCCATAGGTTCTGACCCATGGCCATCCGGTAGCCGTGTCCACAGGCCGAAGGCCATAGGGGACAACTTCCCATGCCTCAAGCAGAAAGCCCTCTGAGGCGCAAGAAATCGCAAGCAGCAGCCATGGCTCCGTCCATTTTCTTGGGTTTATCGGACTTTTCAAGGGAAACAACTGGGAAACAGAAATGGGTGCCATTGAACAGCCGAAAAGCTCATGATCAAACGGCCCGGGTAGTCGTTGAAATCCTTGATCCAGTTGGCGGGCAGCTGGATCACAAAGTCCCCGCTGCGGCTCTGCACCAATTCCAGGTAGGGATCCGGATCTCGGGTCGCGCTCTGGGCCTCTTGTGCCTTTGGCGCAGCTTCCTCTGCCACCGCGGCGGACCAAACCCCTGCACCCAAGGTGGTGCCCAGTGTGCCCAGCAGCTGTCGGCGCTCCACAGGCCCCAGCCAGCATGGGCCCAGCAGCGCGGCGGTCAGAACCAGCGCCCTCGCCGCGCTGGAGCCCCTCGCACGCGACATGGCTCCAAGGGTCCAAGGCCCACGAGACCCAAATGTGAGCTGTTCAGATTGGAAGCCACGTGTCTTCGATTGCATCGCTATAAGGGTTATGCCGCCTTCTGTTCTGTGCTGAGGCTGCCATGGTCTTACTGCTTCCTGGCAAGTGCCTGATCCTATCAGCGGAGTTCATGCCTCTGGTGTTTGCCTTATGCTGACACAGTCGCAACATGCCAGAATCGCCCTTGGACATCAAGTGTGCCCACAGCGTTCAAGCACTACCTCAGTAGCACGCTCAGTAGCGCGCCTGCTCGCGCGCCTCTTCCTTAGCGGCCTGTGCTGCCTTCTCTTTGGCCTGTCGAAGCGGGGCGGCGGTTCATGCCGGACCCTCCCCGTTGGACCGGTTCGGAATCAGGAAGCCGGGCGCGGACCAATAGGAAACAGGAGGAAGGATGCCTTGCTTTTTGCAGTTGCCCCGCGTCCATCTCATCCTTTGTCCTGGAATTCCTGCCCCATGTTCAGTCCAAATCCCCCACTGATCCGTAAAAACTGGGGGTCCCCATGCTTCCTGACACGTCCCATGTTGGAGCCAAGCGCCTCCTGCGCTGCTTCTTCGGCAGCAGCTCGGGCAACCGACAACTTGGCACGCGCCTCTGCCTGGACGGGCGTGGCCCGTAGGCCGCCAGTCGGCCAAACAAAAGCCATGTGAGCCAGGATCAGAACTACTTGCACCAAGGCGACAGCAAACCTGCAAGCCCCCCCATGATTTTTTTGGTATGACATTGATATAGTGGGACGGGTTTATTAATCCTGGGTCAACATTAGGTTGAATATAGTGAGTCCGCATGTCCCTCCCAAACGAGCCATAATTAGACTGCGTGTCAAAAACAAACCTCGCATGAGGGGAGACACAGCGCAAGCGAAGTGGCTACGCGGCTATGGCACCAACATCTGGAACCCTGCTTTACATGTTCAGTCTTCTTTTTTACAAGTTTACCCCCCCTTCTTGCGGCATATTAAGCCCGGTTTTGGGGGCTGCCAGTTTGACCCACGGCCTCACGGCCGCAGCCAGCGGTTGTTGTTGCCCCGGGCCTTCTGCGAGGCAAGCTGGTTCGCCTTCTCCTGTGCCGCTTCCGCAGCCCCGTGGTACGCCTGGCTCCGGAGGAAAATGGTCGACATGGTCGCCCGTTTGGGAGGGCCCCAAGTTCCCGCAGCTCAGTGCAGCAGGTGACCCACGAGAACAGCAAGTGACCCAGTGACGGCAGCAAGTGACATCTGGGCAGCGACAGCTGTGCGAAGTGCCTTCTGGGCCGCCTGGTCAGCGGCAGACGCCGCTGCCTCTCTTCGAGCGGCCTTCGCACAGAAAGTGGGGTGGCGGAACGTGAGGATTTGGCGCGCGAAAGGGAAGCCCCCATGCTTGGGACGGCCCCTGCTCACCTGTCCCCAGCGATCTGGAAATCAAGAATCCACATGTTTTGGGGTCACGGCTAAACGCGAAACCGAGCAGGAGGGGAAAAGGACAAAGGCTGGACAAAGGTTGGTTTTGGACAACGAAGCTCGAGATGGGAAAGCTGTAGTTGTTCCTTGTTTTTTCCTCCGATGGACATGGCTTGCGCAATCAGTGAGCCCAGCAGCCCAGGCCTTCAGAGCGTTTCTTCTGGCCTCGGCCAATGTCATGCTCGCTCACCCCTCAAGACATGGCCCTGCCTCCGCGTCCGCCTTTGCTTGTGCTATCCTCTGGGCCTTGAGACAATGCCGGTCAAGTGATGACCTCATTTTCGGGACCTTCCGATGATTCAAAGAATCTCCCATCCGGCCTCCTGCCGCGCGGCGGCCTCGGCGGCCTTGGTGGCCTGCACGCATACGACGGGAGCCACGATCAAAACTCCTTGCTAGGGGTCGACGCTTCTTCCTGTGCTGAACGAACTCAAGAAAATGGCGGGGAGTGGTGGCCCCAGCAAGGTGCGCTACCCCTGCGGGAGGGGTAGCCTGCGCGCAGCCAACGATTGGATGCTTTTGCACCGCCCGCCTTCCTCAGAGCTTCGCTCTCAGCCACCTCGCCGGCTTGCCTCGCCGCGGCATCCTGGCGCAGCCGCCCTTCTGGCCCCAGGGCCCTCCCTCATTCAGCGCCACTGTGCTCGCAACCAACCCCGCCCAAAAAAAACACAACTAGACCACTTTTGGCCCGAAAGCAGAACATCGCAAGCGAGGTCGGCCCAACGCTGCAGGATGCGTTCTTTTTCCCTACACGAAGCATTCGTGAAGCAAGCGCGAGACAGCACCAGGCAAGGTGCTCTGCGCAAACTGGTCGGTGCAAGTTGGTCTGCGCAAGTTGCTCTACGCAAGTTGCACTGTGCAAGTTGCTCTGCGTAAGTTGCTCGCAAGTTGCTCCGGCAAGTTGGTCCCTGCAAGTGGCTCCCAGCAAGTTGCTCTGTGCAAATTGCGCTCCCTGCAAGTTGCTCTGTGCAAGCTGCTCTGTGCAAGTTGCTCTGTGCAAGTTGCTCTGCGTAAGTTGCTCTGCGCAAGTTGCTCTAGGCAAGGCGCTCTGCGCAAACTGGTCGGGTCTGCGCAAGTTGCTCTGTGCAACTTGTTCTGTGCAGCTTGCTCTGCGCAAGTTGCTTTAAAATGCAAGTTGCATCTTGCGACGCCCGCCCGCGGACCAGGGAGGAATCGAACCCGCGACCCGCCGGTTCCGGGAGCAGGCGCGCGAACCACGAGACAACTCCTGAGGACCAGTTCGAACAACAAAGTCGCAAAAAACCTCGAGTGCACCACGCCGAATTCCCGCAGAGGGTTGCGTGGGCACCGCAGAAATCGCAAAAAACCTCGGTTTTTGCACCTCGACCCCACAGCCGATCCCCGCAGAGGGTCGCGCGAGCACTTTAGAAATCGCAAAAAACCTCGAGTTTTTGCACCTCGACCACGCCGATCCCCGCAGAGGGTCGCGCGGGAACTTTAGAAATCGCAAAAAACCATGGGTTTTTGCACCTCGACCACGCCGATCCCCGCAGAGGGTCGATTTTCGTGTAGTGTCGTCGGCACTACCCCGCCGCCCTAAGAAGAGATTTTAACTCCTCGCAAGTCAATTGCACTTGACTCCTTGCTTGTTTCAAAGTCATTGCAAGATTACAAAATGTTGCAAAAGTCATTGCAAGGAGTCATTGCAAGGAGTCAAAGAAGCAAGTTGCAAGGAGCCAAGTGCATGGAGTCAAGTGCAAGTTGCAAGTGCACGGAGTTAAGTGCAAGTTGCACGTGCAGGGCCAAGTGCAAGGCCAAGCAAGGAGCAAGTGCGTGGAGCAAGTGCAAGTTGCAAGTGCATGGAGTCAAGTGCAAGTTGCAAGTGCAAAGTCAGAAGTTGCAAGTGCAAGGAGTCAAGTGCAATTCCTTGCAATGACTCCTTGCAATGACTCCTTGCAATGACTCCTTGCAATGACTCCTTGCAATGACTCCTTGCATGACTCCTTGCAATGACTCCTTGCAATGACTCCTTGCAATGACTCCTTGCAATGACTCCTTGCAATGACTCCTTGCAATGACTCCTTGCAATGACTCCTTGCAATGACTCCTTGCAATGACTCCTTGCAATGACTCCTTGCAATGACTCCTTGCAATGACTCCTTGCAATGACTCCTTGCAATGACTTTCATGATGATGATTCCTTGCAATGACACCTTGTAATGACTCTCATGAGAACAACTCAAGTGAACCCAGCGGAAGAACCCTTCGCCATGCTTTCGGGAAAAAACAAAAAACAGGCAAACAAGCAAACAAGCAAACAAAACAAGTAAAAAACTGGCCTCCTGTGGTTGCGCAGCAACCTCTAAACCCGGATTTCCACCGTTTCTCTGAGCGGCCCCATGAGATTCCGATCGCGGCCCCGCCTTGGCCAAAGCTCGGGCCTGGACCTTGGCCTCCGCCTCGGCGATCTTTGCCGCCCAGTCCTTGACCAGCCACTGGCAACGCCAGCAATCCGCAGCCGCCGGTTTTTGCCCCCGGAAATCAAAACGGATGGGTGTGAATTTTACTTGGGGACCCGTTGGTGGGCCATCATTTGGGTGGGGATTTATGTCCACCAACCACTTATGGGAGGGTTTCCTCTCAAATCTATGGCCAAATTTGTCTTTTTTGCTTGCAGCGAGACATCAGCACATGATGCTTTCAGCATATGAGCCAGGATCAAGTTGGGTGAGTAAGTGGGAAACTCGCAGTCAGGTACTGGTGGCAATTTTTGGTGACTGCACCTCAGGTCATCCAACTCCCAAACATTCAATATTTCTCATGTCACACTGCTTGTTGCGAGCGAGCTCTGCGTCTGTATGAAGATCACTGGCCAAGTCATTTTGCCTGCACCCGCTGAGAGACCGCTGCTCCAACCGATGGGCCCTACCCGACCTTCAACTTTGGTGATGCTCCATGCCCTGTGGCGTGCCATCTGATGCTAATCGATTCCGTACGGCCTGCCAGTGGAGATCCTGTCGTTTGAGGGAGGCTACGGCTCCTTCATGGTGAGCCTCAACCTGCCGTCGGTGACAGACTTCACCCACACCTCGGTCAACAAAATACCGCCCTCTTTGTCAGTGGGAACACACGTAATCAGAAGGGTTTGTGAAATCTATTCCTCACTTTTTGGAATCATGCAATAATGGTCTAGGCACGCAAACAGAAGGCAACAGCTCCTCGACTTCTGATTCGCTGTAAAAAAGCAATGCTTCTGAGAGGCTGTCACTTTCTGCCCCAAGCGGACTTCCTTGCTGATGTCCCGCACGAAGCCAGGTCGCACACACGAGACGTGGACCAGGCCATCTCTCACGGCGCCGATGTCCACGAACACTCCGTACGGCGCAATGCCCACCACCGTGCCCTCGTGCCTGGACCCGGCCGACAGCTGCTCTAGCGGCAAAGGTGGCGTGTATCCGTGGATCTCGTCCTGCAGCACGGTGCTCACCTCCGGCCCACCGTCTGGATCATCCCACCTCACCTCGTAGCTGCCATCCCCATGCACCCTTTGCACCACTCCGGGGTACCAGTTCCGCAGCTCGCCCTCGTCAAACACGGCCTCCACCGAATCTCCCTGCCGCAAACCAACGAAACCCACGGAGAGAGCGAGGCCACAAACTGCCACACCCCAGGCGCGGCGAAAGCGCGGCCATGGCATGAGACGGCATACAGCCCACAAACCGAAGACGTTTCCCCACACGTGGAGGATGTCTGAGCCACAAACAGAAGTTGCTTGTTGAATTTCAAGGGTGTTTCTTTGCCATATGTTTGCATGTGTTTGGGATGAGTAGATGGAATATCGGTTTGCTCGGCATTTCATGAATTCTGGGCCTAATGGGCAGCCAACGGGTGCGCAGAATTGCACCTGGCGGTACCTTGTGTTTGTTGCGTGATGTTGCATGCGTTGGTTTGCTTCATTTGACCGAAGCAACAAACATCATCACGAAAGGAAGACTGAACAAATCACCCACCTAGAACACAAAACTAGCCACAACCATGATCCAACCCCCCACTAATGCTATTTATTTAGGTGGAATTTGGCAGCGGACAATGGAAAACCAAACAAACAATCACCAAGCACTTGCTCAAAATGAGCAGTGCTCTAAACCCAGTTGCGGCCCAAGAGAAACATAAAATCCCTTCCGCAAAGGCTTCCGCGGAGCTTGCGCGGCATGAAAGGTTCCTTCCGCAAGAGGTTTGAAGATTGAATCGCTTCCGCGTCGCTTCCGCGGATTGATAAATGGGATTGAAGATAATTTTCACTTCCGCGCGTTAAGGAAAACTCGATTTTCTTGCTTTCGCGATTGAACCGTAGCCCTTCCGCGAAGCTTCCGCGAGTGCATAAATGAGAAACCCCTTCCGCGAACCTTGCGCGGCGCTTCCGCGACCTGGGAAAAGTCAACATTTTGAAATCGCTATTTCCTCCTGAATACTACTTTCAAGTGCAGGGGGTTTAGAACGTCGCTCAAATGGCAAACACGTGAGGAATACATGCACGCAACTGCAACATGTCATCACATGATGAGCACACAATGGGAGCTTCAATTGAAGACTGTAACAAATTATGGCTTGCATGAATTGTGAGTCTTCCAGAAACCCTTCCTAGGCCCATTGTGAGCAGTCCGGTAAAGAAAAGCCGGGAAACATTGACTAACTGCCAGAATGCCATGCTCCCAAAAGAATATGTGCACCTGAATCTGCCAACAACAAAAAATATGCAACGGGAGATGCTACACGATGCATGGGAAAACGACAGAACGTGCCTTGTGTCAACTTCCCGTCTACAACAAAACTCCACGTGGCTGAAAATGCCAGGGGCAGCTGCGGCAGCGTCTTCCAGTCCTTGGCCTCCTTGCGATGTATGGCCTTGGCGAGGCGTTGGGCGGCGCTTTTGAAGCACAGCGTGCGCTTCCCTGGGGCTAGTACCAAACCAAAATGCGGGCGCCCTAGCCTGTGGAAAGAAAGTGTTGTGGTTGTGTGTTTGCATGTTTGCATGTCCGTGTTTTAGTGCGTGTGTGTGGGGGTGTGGGTGTTGTGTTTGTGCGTTGGTGTGTTTGTTTGTTTGGTTGCCTGCCTGCCGCTTTTTTTTGTTTGTTTTACAGATCCTTTTTGTGGCCCCGGGTGCACAGCCCTCGGGTCGCGGCGAGCGCTTCGCCCAGTGCAGCACGGCGCGCATCAGCCGCTGCTGCCTCCGAAAGCGCCCAGCACCCGCCCCGTCCAAGTGAATCAACCCGGAGCCCAAGAGCCTTCATGGGTCAGCTCACTCTGCAAGATTCCCGTGCAAGCACTTAAGTTGGAAATGCAAAAAGATGTGAATATGCACAATGGGACGCGCTTGACATATTTGGAACAAGACCCATCTGGACGCGATTGCCGAAAATTGTGTGCCATAGACTGAGATGTGATCCAATCCGCGAGTCGAGCCTTGTTCTGTATCCAAGAAGCCAGTGTTTGGCCCCACATTAGATCTCCCCATCAGGGCTAGTGCCCGCTCCGTTGACACGGATTTCCATCTACAGTCGTACGGAACGTGGGAATGTGTCAACCTACGCACGTGCGTCAAGGCTGGCCAAAAAGAGGCCGAACAGAAAACGCGCCTGGGGCGCCTTGGGTTGACGCCAAGGAGCAATCTGTGTCTTCTGGGAAACCCCATTGGTTTGAAAGGAGAACTGCCAGAAAACCGGCTATCCCAGTTGGATCTCCTGAGACAAACCCATGGCGCCTCTGTCGCAGCGTGGCTTGCTGCAGCCAGTGCTGCCTGCTGTGCGCTGTTGAGGCCCTGCAGCGTCGCTTGGCTCACAGCCTGGCGGTTCTAAGGACTATTTGGCACCCAGGAGAACATTAAAAACCCCAACCTCAACACCATGATCCTTCCTCCCCCTCTGAGCTCCAAAATGGCCAGCCCCTTGCCGGCGAGCTCCGGTGGGCTTGCCTCCACTGAGGCCTTCTCCACCGCGCGGCGCAGCGCAGCGGCAGCCGCCTGAAGCGGTCAGCGCAGATCGATGCATACCCCGAGCATTTTCCTCACGTGGCCGGGGAACAGGCAGGGAGCCAAATTTTCGGTTGGCCCTTGTCAGTGGGGAAGGGTGACCTGAAAGAAGTGCCAGATTCCGCTGGCGAACCCGGAAGGTCGGCTCATGGCGCCTTGCTGGCTTCGTCCAGGTCCATCTTTGAGACCTGAGGGCCAGGCGGCATGCCCTCCTAGCCCCCAACCGGAGAGAGCCCCCTTTTCTGCCAATGAATGTAAAAACCTCAGGCATCGCCTTACATGAACTGAAAAACACATGATAGCATTTACACGCACTTTCTAACTCAGGGGGCATTTTTTCTTACGAGGCGCACTTTCCCTCCAGGCTTTTAAGGCCCGCAGTGCAGCGGTCCAGTGCCCGTGACGCTCGGGCCGCCGCTGTATCATTCTGGCCCTCAGACGTGAGAAGAGCTGGACAGCCAGCGAACGCATGCCGGGGGTTGATCAAAAGGGGGAAAACCACTACAAAAATGAATGCTTCCCACATGGGAAAAGCTAGCCATGGTCAAAGCTGGGGGCCAGGAATATGGATCAACCCCCCATTTGAGTCACAAATCAAGACCCGGTACAGAAATGTTCGACCCAGAACCATGTAAAGAACTAAGAAGGCGGCCGCAGCTATTTGTGGCTGGGATCGTCCCTTACTAACCTTCACTTACCTGGGTTTTGAATTTGGCTCATTTTGCATTCGGCCTGGGGCTCTGGCGAGCGCTTTGCTGGAAATGCAAATCCGGTTCTTGGACGTGCCGCGGGCAGCCCCGACCAGAGTACCTCGGGCAGTTCACATGGAACAATCTCGATCCAACAGGCATGCAGAACAAAACGTGTAGAATGACTTCCGGTTTGGCAGCAAGCAGTCCACCACTAAACAGGAAAACCAAACGACCCTGGCTGCAATGAGCCAACTTGCATAGATGGGTGCCTGCAGACTTGTATACTCTGTGTCCATGTGTCCGGTTCTTTGTCGGTGTCTGTGTCTGTCTTGTGTATCTTCGCGTCTCTGTCAGTGTGTGTGTGTGGGCGTCCGCCTCTCTGCGTGTGTGTCTGTGTGTCTGTGTGTCTGTGTGTCTGTGTGTCTGTGTGTCTGTGTGTCTGTGTGTCTGTGTGTGTCTGTGTCTGTCTCTGTCTCTGTGAGTCTGTCTCTGTGAGTCTGTCTCTGTGAGTCTGTGCGTCTGTGCGTCTGTGCGTCTGTGTGTCTCTGTGTCTGTATGTCAGTGTTTGTGTGGTGCGATTTGTCTATGTTTGGCTGTGAGCCCCATTCCCCAGCCGGCTCGAAAAAACAGCCTGCCTGATTTCGCGACAGCTGCGCCGCAAAAAGCCTCAGGCGCCTGCGTGTGGCCTGCGCGGTCCTAGTGGAATTGGTCTCGTACTCCAATCGCAGGCGCGCGGTGTGCTCCACCGTGGCATCCTGACACCAGCTGTTCATTTTAAGTGGCGCAAGGCACTCCCGTCGCCTCAATGGCGGTGTGCGACCTCGGAGTTAAACCCGCAATTCCGAAGGCGGGTGTGCTCATTGGGCACCCTGCCGGTTCACACTGGAAGTGGCCTCCAGGCAGGCTGCAACTGTCCGAGCAAAGCGCTGCGCTGAAACATTCAAATGGGCAACATGTTGAATCTCTTTTCTGGTGGCCGTTTGGCGCCGACTCACTTTCTTGCCTCGGCATCTGCTAAAGCACGAGCGTCAGCGACGCTGACACCTCGCACCGTGGCCTTGCCAGGCCGGGGCCCGCCGCTGAACTGCACTTGACTCCAAGTGAGTCCTGCCTCAAACTGGGGAAGCTTACAAATCTGACCAGGAAAACTATATTCTCCATCTGCGAGGGGTGCTGGCAATGGCGCGTTGGCAGTTGGCAGGGAGATTGTGAAGGAGTACATTTGCTGTGCAGAGTTGAAAATGGTGCGATGAGTGGATGGTCCAAAGCCAAAGCAGATGAGAGCCTGGGGAAGGCGAAGGCCCGTGCCTCTGACAAGGGAAAGGGCAAGGACCCCACCAGGGGCTCGGGCGGCTGCGAGGCTACGGCAGCCCAATTTTGACGTCGGCATTGGTGGCGGCCACAGAATGAGTCGACTCAAGGCCACTTGGAATGTGGAAGGCTTGACGGAACTCAAGGAAAGGGACAGCTTGAAAATTGGCTACTCAATGCTTCGGAAGCTGTTTTCCGTCCACGCGCCGGGCGTATGACTGTGAGTCAGTGAGTCAGTGAGTGAGTGAGTGAGTGAGTGAGTGTGAGTGAGTGAGTGGGTGGGTGGGTGGGTGGGTGGGTGGGTGGGTGGGTCAGTGGGTGAGTGGGTGAGTGGGTGAGTGGGTGAGTGAGTGAGTGAGTGAGTGAGTGCGTGCGTGCGTGCGTGGGTGGGTGGGTGGGTGAGTGAGTGAGGTGAGGTGAGTGAGGTGAGTGAGGTGAGTGAGGTGAGTGAGGTGAGTGAGGTGAGTGAGGTGAGTGAGGTGAGTGAGGTGAGTGAGGTGAGTGAGGTGAGGTGAGTGAGGTGAGTGAGGTGAGTGAGGTGAGTGAGGTGAGTGAGGTGAGTGAGGTGAGTGAGGTGAGTGAGGTGAGTGAGGTGAGTGAGGTGAGTGAGGTGAGTGAGGTGAGTGAGGTGAGTGAGGTGAGTGAGTGAGTGAGTGAGGTGAGTGAGGTGAGTGAGGTGAGTGAGGTGAGTGAGGTGAGTGAGGTGAGGTGAGGTGAGGTGAGGTGAGGTGAGGTGAGGTGAGGTGAGGTGGGTGGGTGAGGTGAGGTGGGTGAGGTGAGGTGAGGTGAGTGAGGTGAGAGGTAGTGTGAGTGGGTGAGAGGGTGAGTGAGAGAGTGAGAGAGTGAGAGAGTGAGAGAGTGAGAGAGTGAGAGAGTGAGTGAGTGAGTGAGTGGGTGGGTGGGTGGGTGAGTGAGTGAGTGAGTGAGTGAGGGAGGGGAGGGAGGGGAGGGGAGGGAGGGAGGGAGGGAGGGAGGGGAGGGAGGGAGGGAGGGAGGGAGGGAGGGAGGGAGGGAGGGGAGGGGAGGGAGGGAGGGGAGGGAGAGAGTGAGCATGAAAACCACATTCCTTGCAGGAATCAAAACACATAAAACACATTTGCAGGAAGCATGTCATGAATGCGGGGCACAACCACACCTAGTCAATTCGCGCTCCTCGGGCTTTTTCCTCCTTGCCTTCCCCTCCATGGCGTCACAGTACCAAACCCCACCCCCTCGAGCCCATCTTCGTCCACCAACCACCCGCGACCCGCGCCTCGTGCTGCGCCTCGGCCTTGGCGCGCGCCACAGCGTGCCCCGTCTTCGAGGCGTGGCCCGCCGAGGTCTTCTGCACCGTGGCCTCGCGCGAAGCGCCAAGGGACAACGACGTGCGCGAGGCCGGCCAAGCGGCCCCCCCGCGCCCAGGGGCCGATTTTTTTTTGGTCTCGGCCGCTTTCCGGGGGCCTTTTTTTCCGTTTGGAGCCACTTTGGCCTTTGGCTCTGGTCTGTCATCACATTTTCTCCCGGGGCTCCGCCGAGCAGTGCAGCCCGCTGTCAGTGCATACAATTGCGCCGGCCTTCCCTTCCCTTCTTGAAATCGGCCAGGCGAAAGGACATAATTACTACACCGAACAGGCCACGTGAATTGCGGAGCCTCATCTTTGGGCTCCGCATTTCGTGTGGAGACAACCAAGTCTCAAATGCCAAGCACGTCCACAAACAGGAAGACCACCCCGACGCTGCACAGCATGTGGAAAACCTTCGCAGACTTGCCAAAAATTTCCCCCCCCCCCCCCCACCCACCCCTGCCCGCCCCCAGACAGCAGCTGCAACGAGCGCCTGAATCAGGCTGCCATACTTGGCAAAGTCGCCAAAGGAGTATCCACCGTCTTTCATCACCTGGCAGGAGTCATTGTGCCTCCACATGGCACACCGAGCCAAGCACTATTTTACCATAGGAATCCTCACACAAACCTCAGGCTTGGAGCCTGTTCGGGGAGCCAAAGGCGGGGGGCGGGGGGGCTCGCCAAACAGACCCATGAGCAATTTCTGAATCTCAGTGCAACAAAGTGTCCATCAAGTTGGTCTGGTAGCCCAGCGGCGATGTCAAGCAAGTGCCAGCGGCGAAAACCATCACATGCGTAAGCGCTTTGACGTTGTTCTTCTTGCATGTGATGTCATCTGCATCGCACATGTCGCTCGTCATAGTCGCCAGCATCGGGCCAACGATGGCCTTAGCGCTACGAGCGAATTCCTGACTTCTGCAAGCAGGGGACCCAGACCATGATTTTCCGGCAGTCGTGCTAGTTCCAGCCGCTGCGTACCAAACAACCAAGAATCAGACTCCCAAATGGGTCCGGGCCTGCAACACCTGCACGAAAGGACCCGCGGCTTGGGATCGGTGGGCAAACTCCCAGGCCGCCCCTTTCCCCGGGATCCAGGTTGGGTTTCCGCGGGATCCAAGAAGACACATGTGAGATGGACAGGAGTTGCAGCGCTTCAGGATGTGCCGGATCACTTCAAGTGAAGGATGTGTCGTGCTAAATGTGAGGTTGCGGTCACAGAATCGTTGAACAATTCAGAAACCTCAATTGGACCCAGGAGGTCCCGGGGTGTGGTTGACTTATAGCAGTCTCTGCAAAATTGACCACGCAAGCTGTCCCTCCCACTCTCTCAAGGACGACCGCCGAACCACAAAGCATGCCCTCTGCATCCTGGGCACGACGGTTGCTGAGTTGTTCATGAACATGGATAGGAATGCGGACAGAAAATAGACCGCCGTGCGCACCCCCAGCGTGCCAAAGGGCATGGCCAGCTGGGTTAGCTGCTGGGCAGCAAACCTCAGATACTCTTGCACACTGGCAGCGCACAAGTTTTCGGGAGTTGGCACGCATCCATGCCACGCCACATTGCGATGCCGGTGGATCGCAATGCAGTGGACAAGCCGTAGGCCCCTGCGATGGTCAGAAGCACAGGCCCCTTGATGGCCTTGTAGACCTCAGGTGAGCCATCCACCATCCCAAACCTGGCACCCTCCCGGCTGGGGAATATCAAACTCTTCGGACGGCGCACGCTCTCCATGCTATAGGCGTTGCTCAGAACCAGGAGAAGCACCTCCACAGCTAGCAAGTAGCTATGTCACGCCCTCGCACCTTTGCCTCTGGCTTTCTGCGTCGAGTTGCGAGTAGCCCAGCACCACATGCCAGGTCCACAATTTCCGCAGTCAGCATAACTACCAGCACTGCCATGCCCAGGCAAACCATGACACAACCTTGGTGGGCACTCGGCAACCACCCTTGCCTTTGATAGTGACCTATCCAGCGAAAGTTGGCACCAGTCGCAGCACACTGTCCCACTGTCCACGCTGCAAGCCCGAGGGACGAAGCTGATCGTGAACTCCTCCAACCCGCTGAGGACTCGAATTCGCTACTATCTTGGTGATGGAGAACTCCTGTGCTGCAAAAAGGCTGCTGTTGAAGCCGCGTTGTTGCAGCTGCAGTTGACCGCAATAAAAAAAAAGGCGCCTCTTGCCATAACTTGCTTTCCACATATCTCTCATCCGCCTCCAGGAGCACAACATCCCCAGCTTTTGGAATATCAGAGTCCTGCCGGGCTGCCTGACTGCCAGGCAAACGCACTCTCTCTCTCGGGTCCTTGCCCCGGATTGCCAGGGGACAGGCGCCCAAAGCGGTTCTGAAGACCTGGAGCCACGGAGCCACACGCCCTGACGTACCCGCTCCATCTTATTCTTTCGCATCACTCACAAAAGCGTGGATAAGCTCGGCCAAGACGCATCGAAGTCGAAGGGAACATTCGTAATCGTGCTGCTGGGCGATGGGATTGCTTCCTGAGAGCAATGCGAACGATGCCTGGAGGCAAAAATAATCACCTCTTCTCAGCAAGGCTCGTACAAGTGCCGCCTCTCTCGCTGCATCCCCAGTGCTCTCAACGCGTCCTGCCCAACACCGTGGTGTCCGCTCTCCGGCAAAGGCTCACGAAGCGCAACCAAAAAGCAGAGACTCCACATGCCAGCTTCCCCAAATCAGGACCTCTTCAACCACCCAACATCACCCACGAGTTGCTGGGCAATGTGAAAACAAGGCCAAAAACATGGGCACGCACTGGGAATGCAAACAGGCCCGTCACAACAACCCTGACTCCATCCATCTGGCAACGGCATTCTCTCCCTTCCAGCAGTCACTCTGCAGTGAGGTGACATCTCATGTTAGTCCCCGCAGACAAATTGAGAGAGTCATTTGACGAGTCACAAGGGTGCATGAGCAGATTGAAAGAAGCTCATTGGTCCATTCTTCAGAATGAAACCCTGTGACACTGAGGGAGGGCGTCTGTTGGCAATCATAGAACAGGTCGCTTTCTCTCTGCACGACATCCCCATCAGGGTTCCACTTTTGACTATTTCAAGATAGACTTCAACCCAGGGTTCCGTTAGGGCAATGAGCCACCCCTGGGTAGTCAAAAAGTGGATATTCGCATGCCCAAATCTGGTCTTGTCTCGCTTGCCTCGTGGTCGATGCGCAAGCCCTTCACTTGGCGCAGCGAGATCACCCCGGTCTCATCCACACGGCACGCGAGCTGCTCATTCTCCCCCAGTGGCCCGTCCACTGTGGTCACAGCCTGCAGGATTTGCCCCGGGCCGGGCTCATCTCAATCGACACCTCGTCAGTAAGTTGCTGTACGTAAGGGATGTCAGCAAAGTGGGACAACATGGAGAACCGAAAACCCATTGGTTTTTGAAAGGTGTCCCACCAACAGGCTCGTCAGATTGAACTTGCTTCGTTTCAACCCCTATTTGTTTGAATGTTCCTTTTGTTCCTTTTCTCGCAGGCCAGTTGAAGGAAACATGCATCCACCACTTGCCACGGAGCGGCCTCGCCGCTTCGATCGACCCCTTTCCCCCGAGCCTTGACGCCGGGCAGTCGCTTCAACTGCGCGCACACGATCTCGGAGCCCGCGCCAGCGTAAGTCCCCCGGGGGCGCACGCTGAAGTTCACGGAGTAGAGGTTCCCATCGGCCGGCGCCGGCGCCTGGATCACAACACGCGAGATCCCGCCAGTGCGCATGATTCAGCAAAAAAGAAACATAAACAAAAAAAGAAGAAACAACTGGTAACTAAAGAAAGGAGAAAAAAAGGAGAGAATAAACAACTGAAGAAAGGGTACTACTAAACAACTGGCGATCTGCGTCAGAGGTCTCGGTCTCTGCACAGCCGGCTGAAGAGGACAGAAAGGGCAAAAGCAGGTCCATTACTATGAACGTGGCCAAGGCAAGGACCGTGCCAGAGTATGACAAATCAAAGAAGCTCATCTCATAGAGCGACTTGTCCACGCTCTCCCGCGCCACCAAGCAATGCGAGGAGCCAATAAGGGTGCAGGACCCTCCTAGCATGGCCTCAGGAGCCATGGGTTGTGCACTGAAGCTTTGGTTGGAAGGTCTGATTGTCTGATTCCGCAGGATGCATTCAATAGGGGTCGGATTAGGCAAAAGACCTTCATCATGCCCAGGCCCAAAGTACTTGATTTCAAGAGCATGTTTGACCATTTGTTGCCTGTGGTCTTATTCGGCATCTTCAAAAGGGCAGCATGACTGAGCGTCATGAGTGCGTGTTCCCAATACATTCTTGACGACACCCGGATCGATCTTGCTCACATGGCGCTCGACTATAGTGATGCAGCGCTTTGGACTGCAACCACGGCACAGAAAATGACAATGGCATAAGCAGCTTTCCAGGATGCACGTCTAAGGTCCGCGACCAGGACACAATCACTGGAATCATCATGGTCACGATGGCCGTGTTGCTCAGAAACGCCTCGCGAGAAGAAACACTTCTCTGACTTTTGCAGCGGAAAGGTCCTGCAGCTTTCAGCAGCTGAGGTTGCGGCCGATAGAAGGCCCACAGGAATCAACATGCGGAAAAATGCCTTGGCGTTACTCCACCCACCACACGCATTCGAGCGCACGTTGGGCCCTAGCAGTTTGCTGTTGGAGCTGAGGAGGGCACAATGTGAAATGACTGAGGGTTGCCGAGCATGGCGCTAATGGCGACGTCCAGGACACCTGAGGTGCAGGAGATGGAGAAGGCTGTTTCATGAGCAAGGCTGCAATACTCAAGGGCCCGGGAGGTTTCGCAGTTACCCTTTCAGCCAGCAACGTGATTGACATCTTCATCAGCCCGCCATTGCCGCCCTGAGAGGCCCGGCCTGTCTCTTCAATTGCGGCAGCAACGGGAAACAGCAGTGCCAATCCGACCACGCTGCTGCTTCCGAGCCCAGCCCAGACCTGCGACTCATTTGCAACTACATTTGAGGCGCACAGCTCAGACCTGTTCGACACGTCCGCAGA